AAAGTTCGGGCCACAACGCTGCAGTAGCAGCTGGGTCGATGCGGTGAGGCTCTCGGAGCTGGATGTAGAACGGGCAGGGAATTTAGATATCATACCTCGTTGACACCTCTCCTGCCTCTGGATGCTTCGGGGCGGCCTCAGGGGACCCCCTGAGATCTTCAGACACCCCCGGGGCCTCTGAACACCTCCCAAGCCCTCCGCCAGGACGCGTCTGCGCTCGTGCGCGAGGCTGCGTGCAAGTTTCTCTGGATGCCCAATTGAGGATGGCCCGAGCACAGGACCGACGGCGCCGAACGCATGTCCTCCAATAGTGGCGCTAAAGAGCCATTGCCGCGGAAATCAAATGAAATCGCAAAACGAGCGCGTCCGACTCGAGCGAAGAGCGCTGAAGACATGTCAACGCGCTCGCACAATGGTTCGATCCCCAATACGTTATCCGCTCATCCCCATCCCCCCCACCCCCTTCCCCGCCCACACTCTTTCTCCTGGTCCTTCTCCCCCACAGCATCCCGGTCCTCTCACTTCCTCCTCCTGCCATCATACTGCTCCGCACTCTCCGCCCTCCTCCCCCCTCCCCCTCTCCCCCTCACCCCCTCACCCCCTCTCGTCCCGCTTCTCCTCCTTCTCCTCCTGCTCCTCGGCGCCTCCTCCTCCTCCTTCCGATCGCACCTGGCCCCCCACCCCCTTCCCCCCTTCCCTCCCTGTCCCCGTTATGTCATCGCCCACTTCCTCCTCCTCCTCCTCCTCCTCCTCCTCCTCGAACTGCCCGCCACGCCCCCTCCTCGCACTTGGCCCTCTTTTTGCCGATACGGATCTCCACGTCGAATATGGTCTCCTCGGGATCTGGGTCCGCCTCGCGAGGAGGGGTCTCCTCCTACTCCTCCTCCTCCTCCTCCTCCTCCTCCTCCCCCTCCTCGGATGCTCCCGTCCGACACGAACATATAGTACAATCATCTTACAGCATGTCGTTCCCCAAGCGATGCGGCAAGAGAGCGCCCGCCACGACGCGAATACTGCAAGAATTCTCGGCGCGCGCGTCGCCCCTGATGGGGGGGCGACGCACACGTAGTATCAGCATGTTGGGGTGACGCCGAAGACACGCCGCCGTGGGGAAACCATCAGCACCTGCGTGCTGAAAAAGCACGAGGCTTAGGTCGGGCATGTCCTCCAACAGGCCTACAGGCGGATTCTGGACGAAACATACAAAGTAGCCAAAACATGCTCAAAACTCATCCAGAAATAATAGAGAGTCGTCCCCAAGATATTGAAGATTCCTCCTGTACAGGGACATGCCCGCCCTAACGCGAGGCCTTGGGACAACAACCGAGGTGGAACAGGCTGGCGGGCTCCCAGCGGCAGCATGCGCCATCGATCTCCGTTCCCTCCCGACGAGAGGCGCAGGACAGAGCTGCGCGAGGGCACACCGGACAGGAGGCACCCCAGGGAAATTCGCCGCTGCAGCAACAAACTGCCCGCGTTCCCGCACGCGCGGAAGGCGAAACGGGATCGTGCAGCTGGCGGGCCCGGCCCTGGGAGAGTCCAGAAGGGCAAGTGTTGGCATGGAACAAAATTACTCACTGCGTGGAGCTCCCCATATGTGCACCTCATGTTTTATGTCATGCCGTGGCGAGCGTCTGTTCATGAGCGGTCGGTCGACTACAATAGCGCGTCCACGTGGGCGACAGGGCCGACGAAGACGAGTGACCCCTAATGCAAGTGATTGCGTGTGAGTCAGAGTGAGCTTTGTGTATGGTTGAATGCGAGTCTCTTCCTATTCATCCCCCCTCCTCAGCTGCCAGGCCTTCCCCTTTTCAGCCCGCGGTAGCTTTGGAGCTTCCCACATGCGCATATGTTGTAGGATAGTTGGCAATGGGATATGTAAGACGAGCGTTTAGCCACACAAGGCCATAAGTGCATGTCATGTTGGAGGATAGTGCCACGGTGAGCATTCCCAACGATCCCCGCACACAACCACAGCCCCCCCCTCGCAGTCACCCCCTATGAATACATACATACATATATATATATATACATACATATACATATACCTATACATGGCCTGGACTTCGGAACAAACGTTCTGCTCGCGTCAAGGACCTTCGAGCAAAGCGCCCTCCTCCTCCTCCTCCTCCTGTTCCTCCGCCCCCTCCCTTCTCCTGCTCCTGCTCCTCCTCCTCATCCTCCTGCTCCCCCTCCCCCTCCGCACCCCCATGCCCTTCCTCACGATCCCCCGCCTCCTCCTCCTCCTCCTCCTGTTCCTCCTCCTCATCCTCGTTCCTGTCATTTCCCTCCCTGTTGAGCCCAGAAACAAGCGAACCGCCTGAGACATCCCCACAATATGGCCGCGAACGTGCCCGTGCAACCACCCCTGGCGGCTCCCTATAAGGGGTGCTGCAACCAGCGCCCCGCCTGAGACATCCTCACAATCTGCTCTCCAAGCGAAGGATGTTGAGCCCAGAAACAAGCAAACCGCTGAGACATCCCCACAAAATGGCCGCGAACGGGCCCGTGCAACCACCCCTGGCGGCTCCCCTTAGGGTGCTGAGGGGTGCTGAGCCAGCGCCCCGCCTGAGACATCCTCACAATCTGCTCTCCAAGCGAAGGATGTTGAGCCCAGAAACAAGCAAACCGCCTGAGACATCCCCACAACATGGCCGCGAACGAGCCCGTGCAACCACCCCTGGCGGCTCCCCTTAGGGGTGCTGAAACCAGCGCCCCGCCTGAGACATCCTCACAATCTGCTCTCCAAGCGAAGGATGTTGAGGCCCAGAAACAAGCAAACCGCCTGAGACATCCCCACAAATGGCCGCGAACGAGCCCGTGCAACCACCCCTGGCGGCTCCCCTTAGGGGTGCTGAAACCAGCGCCCCGCCTGAGACATCCTCACAATCTGCTCTCCAAGCGAAGGATGTTGAGCCCAGAAACAAGCAAACCGCCTGAGACATCCCCACAAAATGGCCGCGAACGAGCCCGTGCAACCACCCCTGGCGGCTCCCCTTAGGGGTGCTGAAACCAGCGCCCCGCCTGAGACATCCTCACAATCTGCTCTCCAAGCGAAGGATCTTGAGCCCAGAAATTACTCACTGCGTGGAGCTCCCCATATGTGCATCCTTTTTTAAAGGTAATATTGTATATGGGTCTACAGGAACACACGTAAAACACCAAGGACTCGTGCCCCAGGAGAGGCCCAATATATAGGAACAACAGTAAAACAAATAGGATTGCTTACACAGGAGAAGGACAATATATAGAAATATACGTAGAACATCAAAGAATCGTGCTCCAGGTGAGGCCCAATCGATAGGAGCATACGTAAAACACATGGGTGGAGCCACTCCTGTTGCCTTCTGAGGCCTCCTGCTCCTGGGGCCTCTCGGGACCTCCTGTTGCCTTCCGAGGCCTCCTGGCGCTTCCTGTTGCCTCCTGGGGCCTCCTGTGGTTTCCTGAGGCCTTCTGGAGCTTCCTGGGGCCTCCTGGAGCCTCTTGGGACATCCTGTGGCCTCTTGAGTCTTTCTGTGGCCTCCTGATGCCTCCTGGGACCTCATGTGGTCTCCTGGGGCCTCCTGGAGCCTGTTGGAGCCTCCTGTGGCATCCTGAGAAGAATCTGCGCCCACGAGCCTGGCCACCAAAACAGGCAAACCGATCGAGACATCCTCAAAATCTGGCCCACCTGGGGGGTGAAAATGAGCGCCTCGCTCGAGACATCCTCCAAATCTGCTCCGGAAGCGAAGGATGTTGAGCCCAGAAACAAGCAAACCGCCCGAGACATCCCCACAAAATGGCCGCGAACGAGCCCGTGCAACCACCCCTGGCGGCTCCCCTTAGGGCCACGAGCCTGGCCACCAAAACAGGCAAACCGATCGAGACATCCTCAAAATCTGGCCCACCTGGGGGGTGAAAATGAGCGCCTCGCTCGAGACATCCTCCAAATCTGCTCCGAAAGCGAAGGATGTTGAGCCCAGAAACAAGCAAACCGCCTGAGACATCCCCACAAAATGGCCGCGAACGAGCCCGTGCAACCACCCCTGGCGGCTCCCCTTAGGGCCACGAGCCTGGCCACCAAAACAAGCAAACCAATCGAGACATCCTCAAAATCTGGCCCACCTGGGGGGTGAAAATGAGCGCCTCGCTCGAGACATCCTCCAAATCTGCTCCGAAAGCGAAGGATGTTGGGCCCAGAAACAAGCAAACCGCCTGAGACATCCCCACAAAATGGCCGCGAACGAGCCCGTGCAACCACCCCTGGCGGCTCCCCTTAGGGGTGCTGAAACCAGCGCCCCGCCTGAGACATCCTCACAATCTGCTCTCCAAGCGAAGGATGTTGAGCCCAGAAACAAACAAACCGCCTCAGACATCCCAACAAAATGGCCGCGAACGAGCCCGTGCAACCACCCCTGGCGGCTCCCCTTAGGGGTGCTGAAACCAGCGCCCCGCTTGAGACATCCTCCAAATCTGATGTGTGTTGAGTAAGTCTGAGTATGAGTAGGTCTGAGTATGAGTATACCTGAGTGTGAGTAAGTCTGTGTATGAGTAAGTCTGTGTATGAGTAAGTCTGGGTATGAGTAGGTCTGTGTATGAGAAAGTTCTGAGTATGAGTAAGTCTGAGTATGAGTAAGTCTGAGTATGAGGAGGGGAGGAGGAAATAGGAGGAGGAGGAAGGAGGAGTAGGAGGCGTCCAAGTAATAACAAGAACCCCATCTTAGCATATGGGGAACAAGCAAACCGCCTGAGACCTCCCCACAGCATGGCCGCGAACGAGCCCGTGCAACCATCCCTGGCGGCTCCCCTTAGGGGTGCTGAAAATGAGTATGCCTGAGTATGAGTAAGTCTGTGTATGAGTAAGTATGTGTATGAGTAAGTCTGGGTATGAGTAGGTCTGTGTATGAGAAAGTCTGTGTATGTATACGTCTGGGTATGAGTAAGTCTGAGTATGACTACTGTGTATGAGTAAGTCTGGGTATGAGTGAGTCTGTGTATGAGTACGTCTGGGTGTGAGTAAGTCTGTGTATGAGTAAGTCTGTGTATGAGTATGCCTGAGTGTGAGTAAGTCTGAGTATGAGTAGGTCTGAGTATGAGTAAGTCTGAGTATGAGTAAGTCTGTGTATGAGTAAGTCTGAGTATGAGCAAGTCTGGGTATGAGTAAGTCCGACAGGAGGGGAGGAGGAAAGAGGAGGAGGGAGACGGAGAGGGAGTAGGAGGCGTCCAAGTAATAACAAGAACCCCATCTTAGGATATGGGGAAAACACGTAGGATGGCAAACGAATGATGTGCGCTCCATGGGAGGCGCACGTCCAAAACGAAACTGTAGTACGATGACCTTGCAGAAGATCGTTACCCAGGCGGTATGAACAGAAAAGCGCTCGCCACAGAGCATGGACTGGAAGGCTTCTGAGGCGCACGCGTTGCCCCTGGGGGGGAGGGCCTTTACCTTCCATCCTGGGTAGTTGGTTCGCCTTAAGTCTGCCCAGGGTGGTTTTGTTGCGTTTTCGGTTCGGCGTCTTGGAAATCAGTGTTGTAGCGCTTTCGGGTCTCGAAACAAAAATTCAAAAACGCTAGGACAACTATGCATTGTTACGTTTGCAGCCTGAAAACGCAATAAGTTAAAAAGGACACCAGACAAACGCAACAATAACTGTTCGAACAATTCGAAAAAAACACGTACAGCCTTCAAGAGCCCAACAAAACGCGAAAACAAAGACAAATGCGCAAACACGTAGAAGACGCTAACAAAAAGACGCCCAGGGCGCTTTTCAGGCGAACCGAGCTGGATAGCTTTGAGATATTCTGGGGTCCTGGAAGGCCCCCGAGAGTTTGAAAACTGCGAACAGAACTCCAGGACCCGCTTCCCTCATGGCGGAAGCGGGAAGCCTCTTCCCTTGTTCCAGCTCCGCCGCCAGCCACGGCGCGATGGACCATAACCGAAGAGGGGGCGAGAGAGTTGGCACTTAAGTGGGTCTGCCTCTGAACCATCCTCACCGCCCTCTTCCCGATCATCCCTGGATCCCCCGCCTTTGCCTGCTGCACTTCCAGCAACGAAGAAAAGGAGAGGAGGGGGCAGGGAAAGCGGGACGGACTCTGACTGCTCAACTGGGACACTGTCGGTATTTTGCTTCTGCTCGGCGCGATGTTGCTCGCAGCAAGTCGTTCAATCGTCGAGCTTCTCGGCGAGATCATTCGTGGACTTTTTCGATCGACGCTACAGTAGGAGCTCGACCACAGAAAGCCTTACACAAGAAATCAAACCCGGAGACCCAAAAATGTCCATTGACTTTTGGTATGGGGACGTCACGGTATCCGTAGTAGAACCATCGAATCCCACGAAACCAAAAGCACCCTGGAAGCAAGCTGGGTGTTTCTTTGCATGGGATTCCAATGTTTCCCTTCGGACTGCAAAATTTTATGCAATGAACTTCAAGCTGGCACAGAGGTCGAATCTGAAGATTTCACGATGCCACTGATACGAAGAATTCGGATAACATTGCTTTAATGCATCCAAGAGTCGCAAGCTATGCGACTCAACAATCAATCAAGTCAATAGCATTACTCCAAATCCCTTACTAATCGTCCCCAAATTCCGGTTTTTAGTAACAGGGCCTTTTTTGTAACTGGGTGGGTCCGGTTTATTAGGGCGCTTTCAGTGGATTGGAGCTTAGGGGGTCTGGTTTATTAAGGCGCCCCGTCGAAGAAGGGGGTCCGGAATACTAGGTCGCATCTGGAGGGGGGTCCGGTGTTTTAGGGGGGGGCGATTAGTAAGGGATTTGGAGTAGCGATCTAGTGCCAGTGCTGGAAGCGAAACGGCGGCGGAAGGGCTATCATTAAATCGGGCCTGACCCCCTACAGGGGGACTTTCGACGAAAAATAAAAAATATTCAAAAATACTCCCAAATGGTCACAAAAATATGAAAAAATAGTCCCCTGACTATTTTTGGGGAACTATTTTTGAATATTCCTCCTGCAGAGGGGCGGGCCCGACTTAAGGCTAGAAGGTGGAGAAGGGCGAAGTGTGGGACGAGCACGGGAACGCAGTGCTGCACGCACGGAAGGGCTCCGCCCCCAGGGCAGGCGGAAGCGCCGCCGAGGAGGTCTCCGGCGCCGACCCAAGAGATCCAGAGCACCCGCGCGGACCTTCGAGCATGGTTCGAACACACGTCGGGTGTTGCTAGAAGTGCCCCTGGCCCAAGGTGCCCCCAGCTTTTCGCACTATTTTGCAGCCCCTGGGGCCCCCTGGGCCTCGTGAGGGGTGCCCTGGAGGCCGTCTGGGCCACCCCGAGAATCCTGGGGGTACCTTGGGCCAGGGGTACTTCTTGCAACACCCGAACACGCCTTCACAAAAACGAACAGATGGACCGCCGGATCGGGAATGGGCCGGGCGACGTTGGCCCCCAGTCTCCCCTTACCACCACTCGTCTCCCGTTGTCTTCAGTTGTCTCCTGTTGTCTTGTCCTCCAGTGTCTCCCATTGCTATCCCAATGCTTATCCGCATCCCCATATCCTGATCCGTATCCCGATCCCTCCTTTCCCCGACGACAGTCCTCTAGATCTATCCATACCCCTCCTGTGTCCCTATATCCCTGGCACCATATCCTCATCCCTACCCCTATCGCTATCCCTATCCCACCATCGTGGCTCCCCACAGTGACCCCAAATCGTGGCCCCCATCGTGACCGTGGAAAACTGTCTGGGGTCTTCTCCCGTAAGGGTGTCATGCTTTGTTTTATGAGTCGGAAGGTGAACGATATGGGGAAACTGGCTCGGCGATATACGGTCGACCTGTATCACAAAGACGCATGGTAATTACTGCGGGACGGGAACATGACCACAGCCACTGCTTCTTGCTTGCGCCGCCCTCCAGCCGGCCGAAAAAAAGCAGTGGCTGTGGTAATTTCCCTGGTGCCAAGCCTAACGAAAATGACCACAACCACTGCTTTGTTGCTGCTGGCTGGAAGGCGGCAACAAAAGAAAAGCAGTGGCTGTGGTCGTTTTCCCGTCCCGTAGGTAAGGATGCAAGCGCCTTGGAGGGCCATGTCGAAGCTCCTCGAGCGGGGAGCGGCCAGCGAAAGTGGCTCAGGATAGGCCGAAGGGGCAAGGATGCCAGGGCACCCTTGGGAAGACTGCCCATCCTTCTCATGCGGGTCGGCTGCATCGCCGATAGATCGGCGAGACGCTCTCGATACCCACACCGCACCCTCATGGCCAGGGTGGGCCGTCAAGCCTTAAGTCGGGCCTCTCCCCGTACAAGGGGATTTTCGACGAAAAATAAAAGTACCCAAAACATGGTTTTGGAAAAAATCATGCTAACGGAATTCCCCACATAAAGATATTAACGGTTTCGTGGGACCCATGGGGTACGACAACACCAACAAGAAGGAGAAGCTCATCGAACGAGTAAGTACGCACGAAAGGGCAGACGAAAGAAAGGAGGAGGGAGGACAGGTGGTAGAGAAGGGAGAAGGGAGGAGCGGGGCCTCCCTGGAGGGGTGGAAGGGGCACGAAACCATGCAAGTAGTATGGGGTTCCAATACCCTCCTCGCTCAGGCGGGGCCTCCCTGGAGGGGTGGAAGGGGCACGAAACCATATAAAAAGTGCGGGATTCCGATACCCTCCTCGCTGAGGCGGGGCCTCCCTGGAGAGGTGGGACGGGCACCAAACCATGTAAATAGTATGGTTTTCCGATACCCTCCTCGCTCAGGCGGGGCCTCCGTGGAGGGGTGGGAATGGCATTGATATGGGAGGCGGGAGGGAGAAGGAGAGGATGTTCTGGGAAAACAAAAACCCCACTCAGGATGTGGGGAATAATCCAAAAATAATATGGGGACTATGTTTTGAGTATGGTTTGACCTTTTTGGTATATTTTTTTGGGGGGGGGGTATTTTTCATTTTCCTCGAAAATCCCCCTGTAGGGGGACACGCCCGACATAAATCAAGCCCCTGATCGGCGATGCACGGGCGGCTGGGGGCCGATGCAAAACACCCCCCCTGCGCCACTCACCCCCTGTGGTCCTCGTCGTCCGGTCCTCGGGTCCTCACGCGGGCCTCTGGCGGCCGTTCGGGACGATCTGGGCACCCCCTGCACGCCCTCGGCGAGGTGCGGCTGCCAGCGAGCACCCCGAGGCTGGAGAGGAGGAAGAGGAGGAGGAGGAGGAGGATGAGGAGGAGGAGGATGATGAGGAGGAGGAGGCGGAGGAGGAGGAGGAGGAGGAAGAGGAGGAGGAGGAAGAGGAGGAGGAGGAGGAGGAGGAGGAGAGGGGGAGAGAAAAAGCCGCCGAGAACCGACGAAGTCTTCCGAGAACCTCACAAGCTCCCCCGCGAACGGTGCCGCGGAGAGTCGATGGCCTGCCCCTCGCGAGCGCAGCTCGTCCCGCCCCGCACGCGCACGCAGGCCGGACCGAGCCGCGCAGGGCGGGGCCAACGGCGGGGCGCCTTCAGCGAGAAGACGCGGCCCATGCCTGGGCTGATGGTGCCCTCGGCCATGGGGCTCCTGCGGCCATCATCATCATCATCATCATCATCATCATCATCATCATCATCATCATCATCATCATCATCATCATCATCATCATCATCATCATCATCATCATCATCATCATCATCATCATCATCATCCTCATCATCATCCTCATCCTCATCCTCATCCTCATCCTCATCCTCATCCTCATCATCATCATCATCATCATCAGCATCATCATCATCATCACCATCACCATCACCATCACCATCACCATCACCATTACCATCACCATCACCATCACCATCACCACCACCACCATCATCATCATCATCATCATCATCATCATCATCATCATCATCATCAAAGATACACGACAAGCATCAATAGAGGCCTCCCGGCTGGGGCCCGAGAAGGAGTCGCGCCGCATCGCCGTTGCATCGGCGGTGCATCGGCAACGTCGGCACTGCATCGCCGACGTCGACGTGGAAAAATCGTGCTCCACATGAAGCCGCGATCGCCAATGCATCGTCCATGCGGCGCCATTCTCCGACCTTATCTTGCATCCTCGGGGGACCTTGCCTGTCCCCTCTCGGCCATATCCGCGTCGAATCGGTGTCGGATCCATGTCGGACTCGTCGGATTCGTGTCGGATCCATGTCGATTCCACGCCGAATCCGAGTCCAAACAACGCCAAGTCCGCGTCGAGTCCGCATCGAGCCCACGTCGGACACAAGAGAAGCCACCAGTCCTGGGGACAGGCGAACAAAACACCTCCGCCTCGCTTTGTTCGAGACGCCACGATGTCTGGGCAGCATCCGCCCCGCCACCATCCACCAGACTGCCTGGCCCAGCAGCCTTGCCTCGCCATGTGTTACGTCGGGCCTGTCCCTCTACACGGGGATTTTCGACGAAGAATAAAAGATACTCAAACAATGCTCCGAAATGGTCAAAACATGCAAAACAATAGTCCCCTGATTATTTTCCCCATAGTTTAAAGATGGGGTTCTTGTTATTTCTTGGACGCCTCCTACTCCTCCTTCTTCCTCCTCTCCTCCCCTCTCCTCGTCATACCCAGACTTACTCATACAGTGACTGGTTCACACTCAGACTTACTCATACCCAGACTTACTCACACACAAAATTACTCATACTCAGACCTACTCATACTCAGACCTACTCATACTCAGACTTACTCATGGTGAGACTCACGCACGCCCCGTTCGCGGCCGTTTTGTAGGGATGACTCAAGCGGTTTGCCTGTTTTCTGTCCCAACATCCTTCGCTTTCGGAGCAGATTTGGAGGATGTCTCGAGCACCACCCTAAGGGGGGCCGCCAGGGCTGTTTTCACGGTCCCGTTCGCGGCCGTTTTGCGGGGACGTCTCGAGCGGTTTGCCTGGTTTCTGTTCCAACATCCTTCGCTTTCGGAGCAGATTTGGAGGATGTCTCGAGCGAAGCGCTCATTCTCACGTCCCTAAGGGGGGCCGCCAAGGATGTTTTCACGGTCCCGTTCGCTGCCGTTTTGTGAGGATGTCTCAAGCGGTTTGCCTGTTTTCTGTCCCAACATCCTCCGCTGTCGGAGCAGATTTGGAGGATGTCTTGAGCGAGGCGCTCATTTTCACCCCCCAGGTGGGCCAGATGTTGAGGATGTCTCGATCGGTTTGCCTGTTTTGGTGGCCAGGCTCGTGGGCGCAGATTCTTCTCAGGATGCCACAGGAGGCTCCAACAGGCTCCAGGAGGCCCCAGGAGACCACATGAGGTCCCAGGAGGCATCAGGAGGCCACAGAAAGACTCAAGAGGCCACAGGATGTCCCAAGAGGCTCCAGGAGGCCCCAGGAAGCCCCAGAAGGCCTCAGGAAGCCACAGGAGGCCCCAGGAGGCCACAGGAAGCGCCAGGAGGCCTCGGAAGGCAACAGGAGGCCCCGAGAGGCACCAGGAGCAGGAGATCTCAGAAGGCAGGAGTGGCTCCAATCCTATGTGTTTTACGTATGCTCCTATCGATTGGGCCTCACCTGGAGCACGATTCCTTGATGCTATACGTGTATATATACACATACATACATACATACATACATACATACATACATACATACATACATACATACATACATACATACATACATGCATGCATACATACATACATACATACATACATACGTACGTACGTACATACATACATACATACAAACATATATATATGTGTATATATATATACAAGTGGCACGTGTGTGCCCAGGCTCATACAAAAAAAAAAAAACAACTGAAAGGGCGTTTGAAGCAGGAAGACACCATGACTGCAGGATCGGAGATGGAGAAGGGGAAGCTGCGGCGGCGCCGCCAGGGCGTGCCTAAGAGAAGGGGAAGAGGCAGGAGGTGAACGCAGAAGAATCTAAGATCGAGGTCGCACTCGAGGGCAAGTGGGGTTGCCACACCTTGCGATGTGTGTACCAAGGCCCCCCAAGAAACCTCAGGAGGCCCGACTTGGATACCGGAAGAGGCTCCGGGAGGCCCCGGGATTGTGAGTTGTGTGTGTGTGTGTGATGTGTGCTCTGTGTTGTGCGTGTTTTCTGTGCGTTGTAGGTGTTGTGTGTGTTATGTTTGTCTAGCGTGTGATGTGTTGGGTGTGATTTGTGTTTCTGTGTGTGCATGTAGTTCTGAGGCCCCAGGAGGCCCCCCCAGAAGATCCAGGAGGCTCCAGGAGGCCCCAAGAGGCTCCAGGAGGCCGCAGGAGGCCCCAGGAGGTTCCAGGAGACCCCCAGGAGGCTCCGAGGCGGGGTCTGGGGTACCAGAAGGTGCAGAAAGCCCCAGGAGGCCCCAGGAGGTTCCAGGAGGCTCCCAAGAGGCTCCGAGGCGGGGTCTGTTACCAGAAGGTACGTCGGGGCTCGATTTTGGGAGGATGTCTCAGGCGAAATCGCCATTCTCTGAGAATCGGGGTCACAATCATTGAAATTACCATGTGTTTTTGAAGGTTTTATGTGAAAATGTTGAAATTCCCATGTGCTTTTGGACCCTGACGTCACGATCTGCGTGACGGGTGCCACCGATTTTCAGAATTTCGAGGATGTCCCGAGCGAAACGCCCAGAAAAATCGCGGACGCGTGCGCATTAATCGCCTCTGAGCTCTACTCCCTCGGAGAGGTGCGTATGATAATATTTATATTGCCGCTTCCCTGTGTGCACAATCCTACATGTTTTACGTATGCTCCTATATAGATTGGGCCTCTCCTGGGGCACAAGTCCGTGGTGTTTCACGTGTGTTCATACAGACCCAGATACAAGATTACCTCTACAAAAAAAAGGATGCACCTGCTTGCCGTCGCTGGGACGTCCCTTCCCTGTGTTCTTTTTTCGGTTTCGTGCGTGGGGTTTTTCGCCAAATGATCAAGGATGCTCCTCGATGGTCCTCGCCGAAGGAAAGATGCACACGTCCGACGCCAAGATTTTTCAGAACGTCGACCCCCAGAAGTCTCGATCCATTCCCCGGAACCGGTTTCTCATCCTGAGCCGCTTTATGACGGTCCCTGGGCCCGGGAAGGGCCCGCGGAAGCCGAAAATCGCGAACAACCTTCCGTCGCGATTTGTTCACGACGCGAGGGGGTCAAGCCTATGGGGAGCTCCACGCAGTGAGCACTTTACGATTGTTGGGATCTTCCCTCCTGCTGAGGGACGGGCCCGACTTCAGCCCTGTGCCGGCCCGCTCTCCCAGCGCCCCCCCGCCCCCCCCCGCGTGGGCGCACAGAAGAAGCCGCCGAGGCGGCGGGCCCCTCTCGGAGGAGGAGGAAGGGGAAGGGGAAGGGGAGGAGGAGGAGGAGGAGGAGGAGGAGGAGGAGGAGGAGGAGGAGGGGGAGGGGAAGAGGAGGAGGAGAAGGAGGAGAAGGAGGAGAAGAAGGAGGGAAGAGGAAGAGGAAGAGGAGGAGGAGGAGGAGGAGGAGGAGGAGGAGAAATGGGAAGAGGAGGAGAAGGAGGAGGAGGAGGAGGTGACTCTAATGAGGAATTTGTGCCTCGCCTCCCCCGCATGTCTGGAGTCCCGAAACGGTGCGGTGACGGACCGTGCAGTGACCTCGCAACCCCCCAAGACCTCACCGCACGGTCCGTCACCGCACGGCCTTGGGACCCCGGAGGCCCCTGTCGCCCGAGACATCCTCGGAACACGACCCGAGTCCCGAAACCGTGCGGTGACCCCGAATCCCCACCGACTCACCGCACGGTGTGGTCACCACCCCGTTTGGGGGCCTCCGAACATGGGTGACGCCCGCTCTGCGCCGGGAGGATCCGAGAAGAACGCGGGCTCCAAGACCCGAGGAAAGAGGAGCGCGAGGAGGGAGGAGGGTTGATGGTACCCAACGGTCGGAAGAAGTAGGTGTCAGCATGAAGTAGGCAGGCGCTGGAAGTATATTGGGTCTCAGCCCGCCACCTGGAGAGGAGATGGGAAGCCACTCGATCATTGAAGTAGGAAGGCGTTCGAAGAAGATTGGAACCTGGGATTCCAAAAATACCTGCGTTCAACGACCGATGGATATTGTTCCCTTGACTTTGGCATCTTCTGGGCCTTTGGGGGGCCACCCCAGGTGTCCTCCCTGCGTCTGCTCTCCGCGCGGCAGTGTCGGCGCAACCCTCAGACGTTGCCTGTGCCCGTCAGGAGCTCCACCTGCGGCCTCAGCGGGAGCGTCCGCATGGCGTCCCTCAGCTGATACAGTGGAGGACAGTCCACAAGGAACCTTCCACAACAAATCCAACCCTGAGACCCCAAGACGTCCACTGATTTTCGGTGTGGGGACATCACGCTTTCCATAGCAAAACCCTCGAAACATTCGAAACCCAGGGCACCCTGGAAGCGACCAAGGTGTTTCTTGGCAGGGGCCCCCACTGTACCGGCACACCCCTCACCACACCCCTCACGCGTCTCGTGCCCAGTAGGGACCTCCGTCTGCGGCATCAGATGGCACGACCGCACGGCGCATGGCATCCCCGCGTCCATGCAGGCACGCCCTTCCACTGGACACAATGCAGGGACCGACTGGGGAGGCCTCCAGAGAGCCACAAAGTAGGAGCTCGACCACAAGGACCCTTCCACAAGAAACCTAACGCTAAGATCCCAGAACGTCCATTGGTTTTTGGTGTGGGGACGTCATGCTTTCCCAAGAAGCCCAGAACACCCTGGAGGCAAGCAAGGTGTTTCTTGGCATGGGTTTCCACTGCATGTCACGGGTCACTGAAGTATGAGACGGGCTCTGGGGGAGAGAGAGTCCTGCAGAGGGAAGCGCTGGCCCTGGGGAAAGCCCGAGGGACTAGTCGAGTTTGATTGGAGGGGACACGCGAGAGGACACAGGACCATCCCGAGGGCTACACTGCCACAGCAATGCAGCAGGCATGGGCCTCTAAAGCCAGGACAGAGGGGTACCCTTGATCTTGCAGGGTCGCATCAAGCCCGACTGTAGGACCCGTTTCCCTCAGAGCCCATTCCCCCCCTATTCGGGGATGGACAGACCTCCCTTTTGTAAAACGTGGTTTAGTGAAAACGACCTCGGGCCCAAACCTGGCGGGCGCAAGCCTAGGAAATAACGGCCACGGCGCCCTCTCGAGAACCGAAAACGGACAATTCACAAATCGACGTGTCACTGCTGGGGGTTCTGTCCACCCTCGACCTATGTCGACTCACCCTCGCGCGCCTGCGGACGAGTTCCCGCTGGTGCCAGAGCCTCTCCTGTCAGATCCTGGCGCCACGAAAAACATACAGTCGGGGCCTTGACCTAAGGCACCCTAAATAAGGAACGAGGCCCCTTTTTTCCATAAGTTAGACTTCGATTTCCGATCGAAGACATAAGGAACACCTGAGGCAAGCTGTGAAACACATAAGGAACGCGGAGCCCCTCCCCAACGAAAAGGGTTCCTTCTTCAGGGCCCCGACTGTATCAGCACAACTCTGGACAACCCCAGGTCGCTGAAAGACCTGCCATCGAACACAACAGCCCAGGATGAGAAGCGGCTCCGGGGAGGAGATCGAGAGGGTCAAGAGTTCCAGGGGCTGGCAACACAAACAAACCGAGCCGAAGAAGATCTGGACACACCCATCCCCAGCGCGCGAAGCGCGCCAGGGGGCAGCGCCGAAGGGGCCGCGGGGTGAGGAGAGGGGGTCGGGCGCAGGCGGACGCATTCACCCAATTCATGCCCGAAATTGTGAGTGGACGCGTTCAGCCAGTGGGAGAGAGACATGATCATCCATGGGCCCAGGGAGACACAAAGAAATCGACACATATTCTGAGACTCCCATTATTCCCAACCATCCTGTGGTGCTGCGTCCTCGTTTTGAAGAGACAACGCCCCACGTTCCCGCCTCCTTCCTTCCTCCCCCTCCTCCCTGCTCTCATCCATGCCTTTGCTCTCCGCGTGCCGTCATCATCATCATCATCATCATCATCATCATCATCATCATCATCATCATCAGCATCATCATCATCATCATCATCATCATCATCATCATCATCATCACTATCGTCACCATCGTGAGCACCATCGCCATCATCGGCGTCATCACCATCGCCATCGTCAGCGTCGTGACACGCCCCTCACACGGTCCGCGGCCCCACGGGGAGCTCCACCGAGGGCCCCAGTGCCACAGGCTGCACGCGGAGACCGCCAACCATTTCGGCACACCCCTCAAGGCTCGTGGCCCCACAGGGAGCTCTACCGATCGGGGGCGCGCAAATATGGATTAGCGATCCACGGATTGGGCGCGCGGTCGCCAACTGAGGCCGCGATTTCCCATGGAAACAGAACCCGTCGCTATAATCCGCGCCCCCTTAATCCATGTTTGCGATCGCCTGAACCGAAGGCCCCAGCGGCAGGGTCCGCATGCGTCCACCCGCTCACTTTGGCACACCCCTCACGCGGTTCGTGGCCCAACAGGGAGCTCCACCGAAGGCCCCAGCGGCAGGGTTTGCATGCACCCCCCCGCCCATTTCGGCACACCCCTCACAAGGATTGTGGCCCCATCGGGGGCTCCACCGAAGGCCCCCGCGGCAGGGTTTGCATGCGTCCCCCAGCCCATTTCGGCGCACCCCTCACCAGGATCGTGGCCCCGTCAGGAGCTCCACTGAAGGCCCCCGCGGCAGGGTCCGCATGCGTCCCCCGCCCATTGCGGCACACCCCTCACGAGGACCGTGGTCCCATAGGGAGCTCCCCCGAAGGCTCCAGCGGCAGGGTCCGCATGCATTCCCCCCCGCATTTCGGCACTCCCCTCACGAGGATCGTAGCCTCATAGGGAGCTCCCCCGAAGGCCCCAGCGGCAGGGTTTGCATGGTCCCCCCGCCCATTTCGGCACACCTCTCACGAGGATCGTGGCCCCATCGAGAGCTCCACCGAAGGCCCCAGCGGCAGGGTCCGCATGCGTCCCCCCGTCCACTTCGGCACTGCCCTCACGAGGATTGTGGCCTCATCAGGAGCTCCACCGAAGGCCCCCGCGGCAGGGTGGCCCGCCCATTTCGGCGCACCCCTCACCAGGATCGTGGCCCCATCAGGAGCTCCACCGAAGGCCCCCGCGGCAAGGTTTGCATGCGTCCCCCCGCCCATTGCGGCACACCCCTCACGAGGATCGTGGTCCCATAGGGAGCTCCCCCGAAGGCCCTAGCGGCAGGGTCCGCATGCGTTCCCCCGCGCATTTCGGCACACCCCTCACGAGGATCGTGGCCCCATAGAGGGTTCCACCGAGAGCGGTACCCACAACGCGGTACTCACAGCTGCGTATGGTTAGGTCCTCCGCCAGGGCAATTTTTCCCTGGATTTCCTGATTCCCCTCCTTCCCAACAAGTTTGACATCTTTTCATGGGAATCAATGTTTACTTGAGTTTGTCTATCTCTTTCCTTTTCCCTCCTGCGATCAATGGACGCCCGAAATCTCTGTCCATGGTGCGTTCCGGTTCGCCGTCCTAGCTCGGATGCCCCCAGAAGCCCCTGGAGCCCCGCGGGCCCTGCGAGAGGCCCAAGGAGGACCAGACACGCCCAGCTGCCTGGGCCCTCGATCCTCGGTCCTCCTCGCTCATCGGCCCTCCTCGATCCTCGATCCTCATCGATCCTCGATCCTCATCGGTCCTCCTCGATCATCGGCCCTCCTCGATCCTCGATCCTCGATCCTCGATACTCCTCCTCCTCGCCCCCCCGCCGTCCTGAAGAGGCGCGACGCGTGCCCGCTCTTCCCGAACTCGAAGACCTTCACCTGCACCGGCTCGTCGGTGCGGTTGACCACCTGAAGCGAGCGGCCCGGTGCTCCTCTGCTGAGGTGAAGCCGCGGGTTCTGCGCACGATCGGCCTTCCCAAGGCAGCCATGGCTGGCCTTCTGTCGAGCGTGTCCCCCTACCAGGGGATTTTCGTCGAAAAAAATACCGTAAAAATACACCAGAAAGGTTAAGAAACACTTTAAAAACTAGTCCCCAGACTATTTTTGTAGTATTTTCGGATTCTTTCTGGGGTATTTCTTATTTTTCGTCGAAGCTCCCCCTGTAGGGGGACAGGCCCGACGTAAGGCTGGCCTCAGGAGGCCCCCTTGGAGTGGCCCCAGCTGGCCGCAGCATGCCCCCAGAGAGTGGTCGAGGGCGGTCTCCACACCCCGACGCCGCTTCTCCGAAGGCGCCCCTGGGGCGCTCCGCACCCGAGGCCGGCGCTGGGACTGCTCGGAGGGGGGGGGCTGTGGACCGCGCGGAGGCTGGCTGGGAGCAATTGGAGGGCCTGCGGAGGCCAGCCGAGACTGCTTGAGGGCGGGCCCCCCCTCATTTTAGTGTGCGGATCGACCCCGCCAAAATTCCCTCAAAAGGGGGAGCTCAGGCGGAGCTTTTCCCGCAGCCGCCCCCGCTCGCCTGGGAGGGCGCGGGGGGTCCTGGATCGCCCGGGGGGGTTCCAGGGCGGGTCGACTCGCCCGGGGGGTTCTGGGACTCGCCGACTCGCCCGGTGTGGCTTCGGGTTGCGCCCGGGCAGCCCCCCCCCGGGGGGGCTGCCCGTGCGCAAGCAACCCGAAGCCACACCACTCCTCCACGGTCCACCAGCCCAAGCCACGCCAAAGGAAAGCTGGGCTGACACTCAGGGTGAGCTGCGGAGAAGCCAGCAGCATGGCTGCCCGCATGAAGCACGTCTCCTCGTCGGCAGCTTGCTTGGGTCACGGAATGCCTCGCGGAGTGGTCCCTGGGAACACCACGGCAACTTGCACGTGATCATTGGCAGGCCCGAGTGTGCTCAGAATCGGGAGCGGCCAAGAGGGGGGTGTCCAAGAGGGGGGGGGTGCAAACCATGACCGGCGACATGTGCGCGGCCCAGCGGGGGGGCCAGGGACGCAATGAAATAAGAAGAGGCGCCCTGAAATCTGGGGAAACATCATGGCCCAAGTCATGGTATCCACCCCCCTCTAGTCGTCACCCCCCTCTTTGCCGCCCCCGACAGAGAGCGAGCCGGGTGTGGGCTTTGAAACAGGAAGCCGGGCGGAGGCTGCGGGCCGCACGGCGAGGCCCGCTCCCGTGAGCAGGTCGGGTTCTCTTCAGGATTTTTGGTGCGCAATCGTACACGGGCATCGGGACAAGCAGTGACGGCGGGACAAGGGAACGTTGGACAGGCTGTGGAGGCGGAAGCTGCCCGAGCGGGGGCAAGAAAACTGTTAATTAACAAGCCCGAGGCGAACGAGAGTAGTCCCCAGGGCTGGTAAATATGGAAGGAAGCAGGCCAGGGCTGGAAAAAGTGGGAGGGCTGGCCCCAACCACATTCGGCGACACTGGTCCTCAATGTTGTGGAATTTTCGCCTGGGCCCAAACAAACATGCCCAACTCAGGGATGTACGGTGCAGGGGCGTCCTGGGGATCATAGAACTTCCCTGCTTTTTCTGATCACCCAGAAGGGTTATCACACCCAAGCTTCTTGATGACTCTCACACGCGCCAAACAAGAATTGCAGACAAGATAATGAAAACACAACAACTAATCAATATGTCTGAGGTGTGGTGAGAGAGGACAATAAGGGTGGCGGTGCTAACGCATGAATGCAATACTCCACGAACGCATCTTCATCCAGTTCTTGTGCATTTTCCGAGCCAATGTCATACAATACCAGGTACCAACTCACGCGACCATTCTCGAAACTCCGTCGATCAGCGTCTGGCAATCGATGAAACAACGCCGATCTAGCGTCGATATAGCGTCGACTCGCAATAGACAAAGATGGTACGGGAGGCTGCTATGAGTTGCCACCAAAACAATACGCGAGACATCACGGGCAAACCTACCCCAACGTGACTTTACCATGGTTCCAACTCGGCTCGGGATCTACTGAACCCGGTCCATCCAGACCGGGGTCAGTCAGGCCTTGCAGGATCCTGCAAGATCCTGCGGGATCCTGCAAGATCCTGCGCCCAAGCCCAGGTCCGTGCAACCCTGGCCCTGCAGCATCCTGCAAGATCTGGCGCTCTGCCTGGCCTGTTTGCGTGGGCCCCCGTCTCTTACTTGAGCCCCCGACTCCTGAAAAATCTTTTACACCTTCCCCAGAGACGCGGAAAACACTTTTCAGCAGGCGCGAGGGCTTCTGAGAAGTACAGTGGAGACCAGTCCACAAGAAACCTTCCACTAGAAACCCAACCCTGAGACCCCAGGACGTCCACTGATTTTTGGTGTGGGAACGTCACGCTCTCCATCGCAAAACCATCGAAACCCAAGATATCCAGGGCACTCTGGAGGCAAGCAGGATGTTTCTAGGCATGGGCCTCAACTATATCCGCTGTTCCCCTCGGCGTTCGCAGGACCTGCCCCACCCGGAGGGAGTAGTAGCAGGAGCAGGAGGAGCAAGGAGGAGGCGGACGAGGAGGAGGAGGAGGAGGACGAGGAGGAGGGGGAGAAGAAGGAGGGAGAGGAGGAGGACGAGGAGGAGGACGAGGAGGACGAGGAGGAGGACGAGGAGGAAGAGGAGGAGGAGGAGGAGGAGGAGGAGGAGGGAGAGAAGAAGGAGGAGGAGGGGAGGAGGAGGAGGAGGAGAAGGAGGAGACGGAAGAGGAGGAGGAGGAGGACGAGGAGGAGGAGGAAGAGAAGGACGAGGAGGACGAGGAGGAGGAGGAGGGGGAGGAGAAGAAGGAGGACGAGGAGGAGGAGGAAGAGGAGGAGGAGGAGGAGGAGGAGGAGAAGGAGGAGGAGGAGGAAGCCTTCTCCCCCCCCGAGCCCCCGAGCGGCTGCACCGGAGCCGCTCCATGCCGCTGCGAAGCCGGTCTGCGCTGCTCCTCCTCCCTCCCTCCTCCTCCTCCTTCGCCCTCCGCCCTCCTCCTCCTCCCCTCCTCCTCCCCTCTCCTACTCCTCTCCTTCCTCCTCCCTCCTCCTCCTCCTCCTCCTCCTTCCCCTCCTCCTCCTCCTCCTCCTCCTCCTCCTCCTCCTCCTGATCCTCCTCTCCCTCCGCCCTCCTCCTCCTCCTCCGCCTCCTCTGCCCTCCTCCTCCTACTCCTCCTCCTCTTCCGCCGCCTCCTCATCCTCCTCCTGCGGAAGAAGCGAGAAGGAGAAGGCCTTCGCAGAAGGCGGCGGGACCTTTCTGAGAAGCCCTCGCCGCCTTCTGCGAAGTTGTTTGTTCTGTCTTCGGGAAAGGCGTAGGGAAACTTTTCAGGTGTTCTCTTGGGAGACAACCTTCTCCTTCTCATTCTCCTTCTAAGAAGGAGGAATTGTTTTCTCCTTCTCCTTCTCCGAACATGCTGAGAAGGCCTTCTCCTTCTCGTTTCCCAAGCTAACCTCCTCCAAAATAGCCTCCTCCAAATTGGTCCAAAACGTTTCGAAACCAACCCTGGGTTGCCCCAGTGACGGCCCAAGAGGCCCGCATACTGGCCAATAGGGCCTCAAGAGGCCCTCCAAGAGGGCCCGAACAGAACAAGATCAAGGGTTTCCTATTGGTTGTTCAGTGTTTGTCGCGTTCCCGCCTGGTGTAGATTCCGACAGCCCAAGACGACCCCAAAGGCCTCCAAGACTGGCCGAGAAGGTCCCAAGACCGCCCAAAAGGCCCCCAAGGGGGATCCAATACGGCTGAGGGAGCGCAATGGGGCTCCAATCCGGACTAAAACAAATCTATTAAGGGGGAGTCAGAAACCAAGGAACCCGGGCGAAGGACCCAACCACATGCACTTGTGAATATCATCATCGGTGGAGCTCTCATGGGGCCGCGAAACTTGTGAGGGATGCGGCGAAATTGGTGGCGGCGACGCATGCGAACGTCGTCGATGGGTCCGTGGGTTGAGTTCCCTATGGGGACACGAAACGTGTGAGAGGTGTGCCGAAACGAATGGCGGGGACGCGTGCGAACGGTACAACTGGGGACTTCGGTGGAGCTCCCTATGGGGCCACGAAGCGTGTGAGGGGTGTGCCGAAATAGGTGGCGGGGACGCGTGCGAAAGGCACCGCCCTCGGTGGAACTCCCGCTGGGGCAACGAAACGCGTGAGGGGTGTGGGCCCCAGGTGGGGCTCCCTCTGGGGCCACGGAGAGCGTGAGGGGTGTGCCGAAACGGACGGCGGGGACGCAGGCGAACGGCACTATTAAAGCCTTGGGCGCAGCAGCTCCCCATGGGGCCACGAAGCGCGTGAGTGGCGGTGCGCCGACATGGGTGGCGGTGACGCAGGCGAACGGCACCATTGAGGCCTTGGGCGCAGCTCCCCGTGGGGCCTGGAAGCGTTTGGGGGGTGAGCCGACATGGGCGGCGGGGTTGCATTCGGGGGCGGCAAAGACGGGGGCGTCCAAGAGAGGGGGGGTGCAAATCATGGCCGGCGGCACGTGCGCGGCCCAAGGGGGGGGGGCCAGGAACGTAGTCAAACAAGAAGAGGCGCCCTGGAATGCGTGGCTCCCGGAATGCCTCGCGGAGTGGTCCCTGGGAACACCACGGCAACTTGAACGTGATCACTGGCAGGTCCGAGTGTGCTCAGAATCGGGAGCGGCCAAGAGGGGGGTGTCCAAGAGGGGGGGGTGCAAATCATGACCGGCGGCATGTGCGCGGCCCAGCGGGGGGGCCAGGAACGTAATGAAATCCGCCGATCCGGCGTGTGAGTTTCAAGGAGTCTCAGCTACAGCCTCGAGGCTGAGCCTCAGCCTCTGGGGGGGTTGCCGGGGTGGGTCTGCCGGGGAAGGGGGGGTGGGGGGGGGGTGCGAGTTTCCGGCGGATGCGTTTTTTGACACCCCTCACAAGGATCGTGGCCTCCGAGGGGGGTCCGAACTCGAGTACCACCCCTCCCGCACCACCAAGAGGCTCCGAGG